CCCCCCCCCCCTGCCCCCGCGCACCCAGCAGCCAAGCCGGCCAAAAAGCGCGACCGCGGGGCGGCCGACGGCGACGGCGAAGGAGACGCGGCGGGCCCCAGCAAACGCAGCAAGGCGCCGGCGGGCAAGCAGGGGCCTCAGCAGCAGCAGCAGCAGCAGCAGCAGCAGCAGCAGCCGGCCGCAGTGGCAGAGGCGATGGAGGAGGACGGCGCGGCTGCCACTAACGGGCAGCCCGAGCAGCAGCAGCAGCAGCAGCAGCAGCAGCAGCAGCAGCAGGAGCAAGGGGCTGGCGGGGAGGGGGCAGCGGCGGGCCCGCGGCCCGTTTACAACGACGCACATACCGCGTTTGTGAAGGGCATGGGGCAGGCGGTGGGTGAAGAGGACCTGCGGGCGCTGTTTTCGGACATTCCCGGGCTAAAGGAGATCAGGGTGGCGCGGGAGCACGAGGGCGCCCATGCGTCGAGGGTGAGGGATCTCTGCGGCTCGGCGGGGGGAGAAGGGCAGGGACGGGCTGGGGTGGATTTGGGGGCAAGGTGATGCGCCAGGGGCCGGGCGTGCTAAGAGCTTTGGTCAAGGTTCGACAGAGCGACGGCGGCGGGCATGACTGTTTGCTGGCTGTACCAACATTGATCAGTGCACTGGAGCACACCTGCGCCCACGCACGCAAACGTGAAGCCAGATCCCTCAACGCAACCAACGCGCCCGCGCACCCCCGCCCAGGGCTTTGCCTATGTCGAATTTGAGACGTCTGAAGGCGTGGCTGCCGCAGCGGCCAAGAGTGGGGCAGAGGTCAATGGCCGCACGCTTGACATATCGCGCTCGCGGCCGCCGCGCGGCCCTGACGACCACACGGCCTTCGTCAAGGTGAGGTGCACGCGCCAGACATAGGTGTGTTGTGGGCCTGCTGGTGGTTGTGTGTGTGTGTGTGTGGGTGTGTGCGTGTGCGTGTGTGTGGATGTGTGGGTGTGTGTGTGTGTGTGTGTGTATGCGTGTGAGCACATGTGCATCTACACGCACGTTGTGTGCATGTCAGAGGATTTGATGCTGCTGCGGCGCAAGACCCTTTGGACTAGGAAGCCCAACCTTCGCAGGAGAGGGGCGGTTCTCTTGCAAGAAGGCGCAGGCGCATCCCTGCATGGCGCTTGCCCTGCGTGACGCCGTCATTCTGACACGGCTCTGACGCATCAAATACGCGGTCGCCACTGTTCGCATTGCACCGCTGCGTGCCTGACGCGGTCCCCTGGGCGCCAACGCTCGCAGGGCCTCGGGCATGACGTGGGCGAGGCGGACCTGCGGACGCTGCTGGGCGGTGCGCCTGGCGGCATCCGAGGCGTGCGCATCCCCAAGGATGAGACCGGCCGCAGCAAGGTGCGACGGGGTGGGGGAAGCAGGTGGGGCAAAGGCAGTGCCAACGCAATAGACTGAGGCAGGGGCGCCCCTTGCTGTGCAAAAGGGGTCATGCGCTTGCAGCCACCTTGGATTGTGGCTGGCAGAAGCAGCGTGTTCTACGAAGCCTTACAAACCCACCATCAACAAAATTTGCAACCCACCCAAACAACCACTTGCAGGGCTTTGCGTATGTCGAGTTTGAAACCGCAGAGGGCCTTGCCTCGGCAGTGGCCAAGGACGGTTCAGAGGTCAACGGGCGGAAGCTGCTCGTTGCAAAGTCTGCACCACCAGCCGCCGCCGGCGGCCGCGGCGGCGGGCGAGGGGGCCGCGGGCGAGGCGGCGCCTTCGTCGGC